ACTACTCTCTCCAATGATTTTAAAGATACTCAAATTCCAACATGGCCTTGAGAGTTATTATGTTCTTGAGGCTGGAACCAGAAATCTTTCTTTAGGGATGCCACCAATGCCATTACCATTGACAAGAATTTTTTAAGAATATTTTGGCACACTAAAGAATCTTCTGTTAAAATTTTAGAAGTAATACTTTTATTAGATAGGTATTTTAAACCAAATTAATAATTTTAATAATACTTAGATCTGTGTAAGCTAACAGTATCTAATCTTAGTTGCAATAGTTGCTATTTAATAGGGGTTTTGCCTTATCAACTAGTTTACAGAAAAAATTATTATTTTAATATTTAATAATTAGTAGCATCCTCTAATTTAATGCATATTTATATTTATTTTTTAATATTACTCTAAAATCCCTATTATAAGTAATGCTCTATGTATTTTTTTTAAATTAATTTATATTATATTAAATTCAAATACAATACCAATATCCTATTCTTTTTCAATGTTATGAACACCTCATATTCAAACATTGTAGGGTGATGAATCCAAAGTTTAACATTTGGATCCATCCCAAAAAGTATACAATATATAAAATACATATGTTTGCAAAGTGTAAAAGACTTACCAAAAGTTTGACATTGAAAAAAGTAAGTTGTAACTTGGGAATTGGGTCATTGTAATGTTGTAAACTTTTTTGTTACAATATCAATTTGTAATGCTTTTGAGTATGTTATCTTTGCTTTCTTTGACTAAGTATTTGTAATTTTCACATATGTATTGCTTCTTTTTTTCAAAAAAGTGCTAAAGTTGAACTTATGGTTATGGCTATAAAGTGCTCTTCAAATTTAAAGCTTGTTTCAACCAAAGCCTGAAACTTCAAATTCATCAAATTCACCTTTTCTTCAACTGGCAAAGTATGTGATACATGTTATGGTTTCTGGATAATCTGTGTTATAATAGACTATATGTGTAAAATTTCTATTAGATAGAACCATATAAACTAATCACAATGTTGTAGAGGATCACTATATTGTCATCATCCCCAAAAACAAGGTGCTAAAGTGCATAAAGTTCCTGTGGTAATCTACTTACCACATAATTTTTCTCTAATCCAAGTAAATGCTCCAAGTCAGCA